CGTGCGGACGTGGGATTTTTCGCAGCCTGCATATATGCATGTATATGTAGGGCCCGAATGATGGGCCCTATAAGAGTCTGGCAGGTGGCTAACTTAGGATGTAAAGTAGAGAGTAAAGTCTATGTCTCGACTCCTTATTGTATAGTAATGATGGAGTGTGGCTATGTTGCTCCTTAGTGTGTGTGTGCGTGTGTGTGTGTTTCTCTTTCAAGCCTGAAATCCGCCTTCAAGGGCAGCTAGTCTTCTCCCAGACTGTCCCTCTCGAATCACCGAGTGCCTCCCCTCCCCCCCCAACAGCCAAACCGTCCTGGGAGAAAGACAACCCGAAACAGAAATAAATCTACTCCTCTTGCTGAGCCTGGCAGTCGCGTCGTACCTGTTGGCCTTGGCTATCGCCAGGGGCGTCTGGTACATGGGGAAGGTCCTGTACATCACCATCGGCGTCGCCTACATCATCCTGCCCGTGCTGCTGGTCGCCTGTGAGTTCCCTTGGTCCGTTCTTCCCTTCCCTTCCCTTCCCTTGGCCGGTTCTTCCCTTCCCTTCCCTTCCCTTGGCCGGTTCTTCCTTCCCTTCCCTTCCCTTCCCTTGGCCGGTTCTTCCCTTCCCTTCCCTTCCCTTGGCCGGTTCTTCCCTTCCCTTCCCTTCCCTTGGCCGGTTCATCCCTTCCCTTCCCTTCCCTTGGCCGGTTCTTCCCTTCCCTTCCCTTCCATTGGCCGGTTCTTCCCTTCCCTTCCCTTGGCCGGTTCTTCCCTTCCCTTCCCTTCCCTTGGCCGGTTCTTCCCTTCCCTTCCCTTCCCTTGGCCGGTTCTTCCTTTCCCTTCCCTTCCCTTGGCCGGTTCATCCCTTCCCTTCCCTTCCCTTGGCCGGTTCTTCCTTTCCCTTCCCTTCCCTTGGCCGGTTCTTCCCTTCCCTTCCCTTCCCTTGGCCGGTTCTTCCCTTCCCTTCCCTTCCCTTGGCCGGTTCTTCCCTTCCCTCCCCTTCCCTTGGCCGGTTCTTCCCTTCCCTTCCCTTCCCTTGGCCGGTTCTTCCCTTCCCTTCCCTTCCATTGGCCGGTTCTTCCCTTCCCTTCCCTTCCCTTGGCCGGTTCTTCCCTTCCCTTCCCTTGGCCGGTTCTTCCCTTCCCTCCCCTTCCCTTGGCCGGTTCTTCCCTTCCCTTCCCTTCCCTTGGCCGGTTCTTCCCTTCCCTTCCCTTCCATTGGCCGGTTCTTCCCTTCCCTTCCCTTCCCTTGGCCGGTTCTTCCCTTCCCTTCCCTTGGCCGGTTCTTCCCTTCCCTTCCCTTGGCCGGTTCTTCCCTTCCCTTCCCTTGGCCGGTTCTTCCCTTCCCTTCCCTTCCCTTGGCCGGTTCTTCCCTTCCCTTCCCCTTCCCTTGGCCGGTTCTTCCCTTCCCTCCCCTTCCCTTGGCCGGTTCTTCCCTTCCCTTCCCTTCCATTGGCCGGTTCTTCCCTTCCCTTCCCTTCCCTTGGCCGGTTCTTCCCTTCCCTTCCCTTGGCCGGTTCTTCCCTTCCCTTCCCTTGGCCGGTTCTTCCCTTCCCTTCCCTTCCCTTGGCCGGTTCTTCCCTTCCCTTCCCTTCCCTTCCCTTGGCCGGTTCTTCCCTTCCCTTCCCTTCCCTTGGCCGGTTCTTCCCTTCCCTTCCCTTGGCCGTTCTTCCCTTCCCTTCCCTTGGCCGGTTCTTCCCTTCCCTTCCCTTCCCTTGGCCGGTTCTTCCCTTCCCTTCCCTTCCCTTGGCCGGTTCATCCCTTCCCTTCCCTTCCTTGGCCGGTTCTTCCCTTCCCTTCCCTTGGCCGGTTCTTCCCTTCCCTTCCCTTGGCCGGTTCTTCCCTTCCCTTCCCTTCCCTTGGCCGGTTCTTCCTTCCCTTCCCTTCCCTTGGCCGGTTCTTCCCTTCCCTCCCTTCCCTTGGCCGGTTCTTCCCTTCCCTTCCCTTCCTTGGCCGGTTCTTCCCTTCCCTTCCCTTCCCTTGGCCGGTTCTTCCCTTCCCTTCCCTTCCCTTGGCCGAGTTCTTCCCTTCCCTCCCCTTCCCCTTGGCCGGTTCTTCCCTTCCCTTCCCTTCCCTTCCCTTGGCCGGTTCTTCCCTTCCCTTCCCTTCCCTTGGCCGGTTCTTCCCTTCCCTTCCCTTCCCTTGGCCGGTTCTTCCCTTCCCTTCCTATCCCTTGGCCGGTTCTTCCTTCCCTTCCCTTCCTTGGCCGGTTCTTCCCTTCCCTTCCCTTCCCATGGCCGGTTCTTCCCTTCCCTTCCCTTGGCCGGTTCTTCCCTTCCTTCCCTTCCCTTCCCTTGCCGGTTCTTCCCCTTCCCTTCCCTTCCCTTGGCCGGTTCTTCCCTTCCCTTCCCTTCCCCTTGGCCGATTCCTTCCCTTCCCTTCCCCTTGGCCGGTTCTTCCCTTTCCCTTCCCTTCCCTTGGCCGGTTCTTCCCTTCCCTTCCCTTCCCTTGGCCGGTTCTTCCCTTCCTTCCCTTCCCTTGGCCGGTTCTTCCCTTCCCTCTCCCTTCCCTTGGCCGGTTCT